TATTTTTTCGCGGCATTTAAATTTTATTTGTTTAAAAATTTTTTTTGTTAGATCGACGGTCTAAAAGACCGGTCTAAGACTGCTAAAGATCGGACCGGATCGGACCGGATCGGACCGTTCCCAACCCTAACCGCAGATCGCTAAGCCACTTAAAAATATCAATATTTTCAAGACTGATTTCACAAGCGATAAGCCGAAAGTTACATCCGCAAGTACTATTTTCAAGAACTGTCATTAGTCAATGTACAGTACTTGCCTCATTTGGTGGACCCTACAATTATATATTACTTTGTAAGGACACCATAACTAAATTCTATAATTATTCATTTAAATAATTAATAATACTAACTTATATACCTATAATTTATAGCTTAACGCGTTTCCTCCCAAAAACGAAAATTCGTCGCTGAAAGTAGTGAGGAATCTTCTGCCACTCAACGTCATTCAAAACGCCGTACCGTGTTTTTAGAATACCAATAAAATTGTCTCTCCTCTCTCCCTCTCTCTCAAAAAATGGTATTGCTAAAGTTTACCTTTAATGAGTTCATTGTGACATTACTTGAAATGGAATCATTGAATCGTAGGATTTTATTCTAGACATTAATAATTAACTTGAATTTAGCATCAATTGAGAAATTCATATTATTCCAAATCTTGAAATCCTTCAAATAGATATTCAAAAAAGCACGGCTTTTCGATTTTCGGTTTAGGTTTACAAGGTCTTTTTGTTGGAATCTTAGAAAGATTTTGGTTGATGGGCCTATTAATCCTCTCAATGATGCCGATGCACCAGATACTGCATATAGGAGTTGGCTTATAAATCATCTTTGGGAGGATTATTTCTTTGATGTAAATTTTAAAAAAATATATTTTTTAGAAAACTTTATTTAAATCCAAGATTGATACATTCAATATGAAAAATTCATGTTATCAAATCCTGAAATCCTTCTTCAAATAGATTATATTCACAAAATTTGGAATTTACAGAAATAATAATAAATTGGTGTAGGTCGTCCGCTTTTCGATTTTCGGTTTAGGTTTACAAGGTTTTTTTGTTGGAATCTTAGAAAGATTTTGGTTGATGGGTACCTATTAATCCTCTCAATGATTCCGATGCATCAGAGTCTGCATATAGGAGTCGGCTTATAAATCATCTTTTGGAGGATAACTTTCTTTGATGTAAATTGTGTAATCCGAATGAAATAAAAAAATTAATTTTTTAGAAAATTTTATTTAAATTCAAGATTGATACATTCCTTACGGAATATTCCATGTTGTACCTCAAAATCTCAAAATCTCATTATAAGGTTCCTATAAACGTAAGCCACTTTGGAGAAACCAACTAGGTCTCATGGGGAATGCTATTGTTGATATCACGATGCAATATTAATAATGAAAGTTGGAAATAATGATGTTCAAGTAAGTTGTTGGAAACGCATTCAAACACGATGACATGAAAATGTACGAAGATCGAGAGAAAATACTTAAAGATAAGTATGTTGAAGGTAGAAAGTTAAGTTTATTCTTTGTGAAAACACACTAAAAATTATTTTTATAGCCATACAGTTGGCCCTTTATAACCTTGGGAAACTTCTTCCTGAAAAGAACAAGGTCTTGACGACTTAGAAATTTTCTTATTACTTGTTTAGTAAAAAATCCTTTTCTCATCACAAATAAAGGTTATGGAAAATCATATTTTATCATTCATAGCATCAACACTTTATTATTATTACCTATAAGCAGGTACAATTTACGAATAAATTCTTCGTAAAGGTACTCTATACGACATGTACTTCTCGTACAATTTTTATTTGTATAAATTATAATACATATATATATATATTTTATGATCTGGATTAATTCATTGACTGGGTTTCACCCCATATAAAATGTTGAAAAAGGACGTTAAGTGAACTTCTTTTTAGGTAATAAGTGTTAAACGTTCCGTAACCATTTTTTTTTTTAAAAAAAAAAAAAGTCGAAAAAATTCAAATCACTTACACATCGACATTAAAAAAGTTAGGTGCAAGATTAACATACCTTTCGACACTTTATTTTTAAAAAAAATGCATATTTTTGAATTACTATTTGAAAAATGGTGTTCCTGTGCAAAATGCTTTAATATCATAGATATTTGTTTATATAATTCGATTCATTGTGAATAATTTGCTAACATAAAAGTTCACAAAGACTTTGAGAATTTACAGTAAGGTTTATTTACTGTGCGCAAAAAAAGTTGGCTATCATAAATAAATCAATTTACAAAGGATGCTCTGAGAAAGATTTAAAACCGAATTAAATATCACGTGATAATTGTTCTATTTCTCCATCCATTGAGATTTCAATTAAGATTTATTTCTATCAAAACTGAGATTAAGAATTAATACCAATTGAACTGCAAGAACATAATGTTAAATTCTGTGTTTGCGAGTACAAAATAAAAAAGACATAAAATATTACTTGGAATTAATGAGTTCCAAGTCCAAACTAACTATGAGAAAAGTACAAAACAATCTTATTATTCATAACTTCCTTTGCCTCCAATCTTGCCACAATCCAATCTTCTTCATCTACAAGGTTAATTCTATCATCAGCGCCATTCTTGAAATATAAGTTATTAATATTAACTTTTATATTATGTTGTTGTTCAATAATATTGATCAAGTCTTTAAGTGAAGTCTCGTAGGGAATTACCATCGTGTAACATCGAGTGAGAAATGCGCAAGTAATATCTAATTGAGGCTTGAAAGTCAATAATAATTAATTCTTTAACCTAAACGTAGTGACCAAAAAAAAAATTTTTTTTACCTCTGCAACGCACAATGTGCCGGAACAATTAATTTCACTTTCGTATTGTTTATTAGTAAAAGGCTATAAAGCAAAATAATAATCAGACATGTTGAATAATGAAATACAGTATATTGTATTTTCATAAGTGCTTTACCTCATTGTAGTTAATTTGCCTGGAAATTGATATGGAATCATCTTCTTCGGGCTTATTATTTAAAAAACTCATTAATTCCTATTATTAGCACGAGAGATGTATCTATGATCGTCAAATCTTTGGTAACAAATGATAATTCAAACTAATTCGATTTTACCCGGCAATTCATATCAAGGAGACATTTATTTGATACTTTGGCTTTAGGTGAATTAGCTGTCGGTAAATCCTTTATCAATAAAATGTTTCATCTTCAATGTTATAAAGTCTACAATCAAGAATGATATTAATTAAGATATTTTATTTCTTACCGTTGTATTTGATGAGTTGGTTTTGTTGTTCCTCTCAAAAATTGATTCGTTATGTGATCGCACTGGTCCAACTGAAACTACTTCCTTGGGTATGTTGACGGCAGTCTAACCAAAATGAAAAATAATAACAATTAGAATGAATTACATAGATTTACAAAAAACGTATCAATTTATTTATTTCATTTTATACAAGTCTAGAAGGATAATCTTTTCGAAAGGAATGAACATGTTCGCTCGCAACACTTGGTTGCTCTTGTTCCTGACTGAAAGATTTATCTTGATTAATTCGTCGACTAACGTTGACAAATTCATTCTCATTATGTTGTAGCTGATTTGATGGTTCTTGAAACCGAGTAAGCATATTAGTAGTTTGTTTCTTTGAGCCTTCCTTTGGATTTTAAAATCAACGTATCGAATTTATGCATTAAATCTTTCATTCATAGACCAGAAGAAGAAATAAAAAAAAAAAGGATGGTATATTTTCTACCTTATTAAACCTTAGCTTTCTCATTTCACAAGTTAACCTTAAATACATTTCATCTTCGACGTAACACCATGGGCTAAAAACAATGGTGGTGATTTTGTCCAGGAATCCTCCTAAAGGGTCCATTGCAATTTGAATTCTAGAATCAAGTTTTCCAAGAGGGTATTCATAAAACTACAAAAAAAAATGATGTTAACCTAATGGCATGCTGCGCCACCCCAAAGTCGATAAAGTTTTGTGTTTAAAATCACAAAGCAACAATAGTTACTACTTACGATTTTTCTAAATTCCCTCTTCAGTCCCAATTCAATATCACGCCTTTCATTAATTGCGAACCTACAAAGATGTTCTAAAGGGAATGAAATTTCTAGTTTCTTTTCAGCCAAGACTATACAAATCTCATTAGTAACAATACGTAAAACTAAAGCTAATGGAGGTTTGTTAAGGCAACGAGAATGTTCTTGTTCTTCTGGAAAGTATTGTTCCAATGGCAAGATTTTTAGATGCGCACATTCGAAAATCACGTATTCCGGCAAACTCTTGGCCGCTTTCAAATCTACTCTGTTGTTGGTAATCATTGTTTTGTTTTGATTATTTAGTCCTGAGCAGTATATATAGGAGATATTGTAATCAGTAAAATCATTTCATATTATATTGGTGTAATATTAATTAACGGTCATTATTTTATGTGATGATATCGGTAGCTTTACTACTAATATCATCATTTTCATAAATGTGAGATTATGTCATATGGCGCTTAACAATTAAACTTATTAAAATCACATCCGGATCCCTCAGGCATCACATTTAATGTTCTTGACAAATTATTTTTTGACTTAATTTAATATAACTTTTAATCGAAAAGATAACACAACTTAATAAGTAGAAAATCAATCTGCCCTAGTTTAACATTAAATAATTGCGTTGGAGAAATTACTTTTATTTAACATTTCAGAAATAATATTATTTGGTGATGAACAAATTTTATTAAGGAAGTGGGGAAGAAAAGTTATTTACGAAAGGTGAAAATGAAATAAGCAGTAAAAAAGAAGTCAGATGTGAAATTTTCTCTATAAAATGACACAAATGACGTGTTCCCACCAAATTTATTGTCCATCGTCTATAATTATCCCTAGTGTTCATCAGTAAAGTTTATTATAAAATCATCTCAATTTCAATAAGCTTTCTTCGGTTATTGGTTTGGTTCTTGGCTTGGCTCGAGACCTTCTATTTCCGTCCCGTGATTTTTTTTTTTTCTTTGCGTCTTGATTTGTATTTGTTGATGCTCTTGGATCAGCTGAAATGATTTCTGTATCACGTGATGTAGTCGCTCGGGTGACAGTGCGATGGGTGTGTGTATTGGCGACAGTGTGGCTGACAGTTTCTTCTTGGTAGAGAAAAATTTCCCTCAACGGATCCCTGTTGTTCCTTTGTGGTACAAAGTTCATCAACTTTGAGTTTGTTCTTCGGACGTAATTATTATTACGATGAACTCCTGCAAAAGTTTTATTAACAGGGTCAAAGTTTTCTTTATTTTGAAGGAGAAAACGCGAGTGTAAACTAACGTAATCAATATATAAAAGTCCTTGTGTATTCATCTTTGGTACTTTGGGTGAACTTGGAAAGGTTTGGAAAAGTGTATAGCCTAAGTATTTCGTTAAGAAAGTGGAGAAAGTGAGGGAACGTATTTTTTAGAAAGAAAGTTGGGAGTATGTTTCAATTTAACGCGTTCTTACATTCATTTATACGATTTTACATGTGTCACATGATTTATTATATAATAAAACAAAGTTTACCGTGTTACGTGTTACGTGTCGGGATAACTGTGTGATATCCGTACAAAAGTAATTCATATGGTTTTTCATCACATGATGTTGGTTATTAGATACTTGTACGGAAAAATTGGCATTTGATCGGGCGAACAAAACTAAAGCTTGGGTAAGAATTTATAAAGTTAAGGCAAAAATAACAATTTTATTTTAACTACAACCGTATTAATTTTATATAACGAAAATTCAAAGATGGATCAAAATTTTTGATAAAATAAAGCTACATTAGGGCTTATATTTTTTATTTTTATTTTTTTTCATTTTCATTTTTTTTTTTTTGAAGTTGAGATTTACAATAACTTTTAATTTGTTTGGTTTACCCGTAATCTTTGATCAGAAAAAACATCGCCTAAAAATTCAACAAATCCAAAAAAAAAATGTATTCATTTTTGTAGGGTTAGGGTTGCTGCGTAAAGGTTAGGAACGACGTATTATCTATCACCCCCGTGATTCAACATTTTTTCATTGTGAAATCCTATTTGTCACCCAGTACATAAAACATAAAATTAATATTAACAAATTAAAAAATTAAAATATTAAAATATTAAGTTATTACCAAATTCTCGTCCTCATTATAAACTCAATTTTTTTGCTTTTTGTCCAAAGTAGCGAAGGACTTAACATTCTAAAGAACGAAAAAAGGTAAATAAATTTTATTTGTATTATTTATTATTTATTTATTAATTTAATTTTTAAATTTTCTATTTATTTAGATCTAAAAAGGATATGGTACAAAACACACAGAATGGGTATTATAATTCGAAAAAATTTTAACCGGATATGCTTTTATGCAACTACCCGAAAAATGATTTCCCCACCAAAAAAATCACCGGCACGTGATCCGAATTTGCTGATCATTTCCAAAAATAGGTGATAAATTTTTAAAAAAAAAATTGATTTTATTTTATTTGAATAAGACTTAATAAAATTACTACTCAAATAGGAAATTGATATTTTCAATATAGATTTCTTTGTAAAATAACTTTTAAAAAATATAATCTGTAAATTAAAAAATGGAATTTAAAATCTTACTTTTGATTCTGTAAGGCGTTATCAACGTCTGAAATCAATCTTACTACGCTGATCATTAGCGACCAATGGAATGATGATGTAATAAACATGACCAATACTGTGCTAAATGATCTGCAAAATTCTGGATTTTGATGATTCTTAGGATCCACAGGATTCTGGAGATTCGTAGGATTTTTAGGATTTACTGGATTCTTCAGATTATTCTGATTCGTTAGATTTTCCTAATTTCCTATATTCCCATTATTTTAATTATTATCGTTATTTTTCTTATTTTCATTATTTTTATTATACTTATTATTATCATTATA